GATCAGATAGGTCCTTTTTTAGCCCTCTATGTGATGGCAATAAAGTTAAGTGTAAAAAATCCGCAAACGCGCGTTGAGTGTGAAAACAATTATGTGGCACATGCTATACATCACCACGAATGTCGTATTGTGGGGAATATTTCTAGGGCCATCAATCCCTGCAACACTAAACTGATAAGCGGTAAAAGCTATTAAAGCGTCTCCTATGGCCAATTGGGTAATAAATGTTTGATGACATAGGGAAAAACGTCCTGTCCCACCCCCCCCCGCCAAAAGAAAGCACCATCTGTTCCCAAAAAAATTGCCCGTGCGGCATTGGAGTCCTCTGAGGCGGACTTTCGATGATCGCAAGTACGACCTGCCTGTCCAAGATGGGCAGATCATACAAGCTTTTTTAATTACTTTACAACCATCGCATAATGAAAGTCATAGAACATAGGGGAACATAGGGGTCCTACAGGTATGGGAAGGTCAAAAGTACATTTTATAATTGCCCGCTCCATAAAGATACTTTTTTTTCCTTCCAAGTAGCAGTTTTGTAAAACAATTGTTTGCTTGATATTTAATACACCTGCATTTCATTTCTTTGATCTTCCATAAAGATAATTGATTTAGGAATCAAGCTAAGTAGTTTTGTGTGTTTGTGTGCAGAAAATGTTTTCTTGCCAAAAGAATACATTCTTTTGTGCTTTATTTTTTTTAAAACTTAGATGCTGTGGCCAATTTTTCTAGTATAATAACCCAGCACCTTCCTATTGGTTACTGAATGCTTTCTTTCATGGCTTACAGTATGCAACCGCTGCTTGAGTGATCTATGTTTTAAATAAGGTTTCTTTATTTTTGCCTGAAGGTTGCTGTTTAGCCATGTAGTCCAAAAGCTGTTAGATTCCTGTTTAGAAAACTTGATTTGACTCTTAAAACGGTGTATGGGCCTCAGTTTTTATTGCATGAGAATTCAATGACCACTTACAGCTGTATGGTTTTACCTGGAGAATTGATCTAAGTTGTCATGCTATGAGATTTTATTGGTAGATTTGAAAATCAATTCAATATATCAGGCTGTAATTTCAGTAAAACATCTGTGAAGCTTTGTATTTTGTTATATTTGGTGTTATACTTAAATTATACGATTTTTGAAACAAGGTCTGCTGCTAATACACAGCTTATAGCTGTAATGATTGACATAAATGTTTCCCACTGTGGAGCTTGACGTGTCAACACTGGCTGAGCACCAGGTATTAAACCCTCAGCTTCATAATGCTTCATACTGTATTTATAAAAAGTTAGCAGAGCCATTTGTTCTGCGAAACTGACATTTACATTCATTGGGGAGGATTTATCAAAACTGGAGCAAAAAAAAACTGGAGCAGATGTGCATGGCAACCAATCAGCTTCTTTCTTCAGTTTGTTTTGTTAAGATTTGAAAATGAAAGAGAGAAGCTGGTTACATGCACATCTGCTCCAGTTTTTGTCTGCTCCAGTTTTGATAAATTCCCCTCATATTTACTGTGTGAATATGGCAGATCTAATATTTTCTTGTGCAGAACAATTTACATTTTTGGAAAATACTGCACTATGGCCACTGCATGGAGCTGAGGACCATAGGAAATACATACTTATTTCCTATGATTCTCGGCTCCATGTAGTGGCCATAATCCAGTATTTTTCAACATTTACATTCGTTGCACAAGAAAACATTTGATTTTGATAGTTGTAAAGTACAGGACATGAGGTCTTCCTGGGTTATATGCAGCTACCTTCAGGTGATTGGACTCTGGCCAAAAAAAACAGCTGCAGCTACAGCCCCTAAATAACTCTTCCCAAGCCTCAGTTTTTTCCAGTGTCCTTAGGTGATGGAAGTCTTCTCTGAGAGAAGCTTACCTCCTTTTTTGTATGGAATTTTCTTTTTCTTCAATATTCTGCTAGCAAATCAGCTGTATCGCTGCTGCAACTCCCTTTTCAGCAGCTTTCCGGATTGGTTGAGACCCTGGCTGAGCCTTGTGGGGACCATAACCAGACCCTGACTGGAGGTAGACATGGGGCCTAGCTGTATTGTTTTCCCTGGCCCTGCAGACAGCAACACTGTTTGCTGCTCCACCAGCACTACAGTACAGCGATCTTTAGATGCTTCCTGGGGCCAGCAACCTACCGTGCCTGGCACAGAAGATTAGCCCTTCCCTCTCCAAAGCATAAAAGTTGTGAGTTTATGTTCTGCACCACACATGGCAGATCTCACGGCATTGGGGGGAGGGTCGTTGGGATAGTCTCTCTCTCCTGAGTGTGCCAGTCCCCTCGGCTCTGACCACTGCCCCCAGGCTGATTCTGTGGATCAGGGATTCCTCTGGGTCTCCAGTTTTATAGCTCTTTGTTTTATAGCTAATTTTATAGATATACGTTTGTAGAGCCGGCTTTACAATAGAGGCGATTCTGGCAACTCAGCTGTCGCCAGATCGCTTCTACGGGTTGGTGATTGAGTGGGATTGCATCAACCCGATCTATGGCTTCTCCATGGGCCCTTTCAGACCATTCAAATCTGC